GATGTAAATGAAGGACCAGAAACTGTCTTTGGATTGGCCCTGCGTGCCTAGATGTAAATGAAGGACTGGAAATGGCATCTTCTGATTGGTCCTCTGAACAGGGCCACATTGAAATGAACAGCTAAGAATGTGCTTTCTGATTGGTCCCCATACAGTGCTCAGGAGTCAGAAGCCTGGTGTCCTTCTGGGTCCAGTGTTCTTGGCTGGGCCTCGCTCTAAAGGAAACATCTCGTTCCAGCCATTAGCACGGGTTTGTGTGACCTCCGACACATCCCGCCGGGCTGGTTGCCGGGTTTGCCGGAGCCCTAATCTCCCGCAGTTCTGCTGGTTTGATCCTACCAGGGTCAGAAGGCAAAAGCAGGCGGAGTGTGGCCTGAGCTAACCCAGATGGGCTGCCGCGCTGCGCGGCTCCTGTGCCCCCGCCCACGGCGCTCACAGCCCTGGGAGCTCCTCTTCGTGGGGCTCCTTCGTTTGTGGTTTTGTTTGCATTCTGGGGACGGAACCCAGACAAGCACCCGGAAACTTTTCTAGCAGCTGTTTCCCAGCACTGGTTTCCCCTTTAGATGAGAGAGCCCGTTCAGCTGTGTTACCTTTAATCCTCTTTTTATCCCCAGCCTTTTAGTTTTAATCTTTCTCTTTCTCATTCTCCCTGTCTGGGCTCTGAGATCCTCCCTGAGTGTGTGAGCTGGTCGGGGGCTCTCCTCCTCCTGCGCCTGCATCCCTGGATCCACACCCCTGACACACCGTGCATCGTCCGCAGGCCCCTTGCTCAGATCTGCTTGTTTCCCAGCTGGGCTAACGCTACCTTTGCTGGACTCGAGACTCGCAAGTAGCTCTGTCACATTTGTTTTTTGGGGTTTTTTTGCAGGGAAGGGGTCTTTTTGAAGCAAGGTCTCACCATGCAGTTCAGACTGGCCTCGAGCTCATTTTGTAGCCCAGGCTGGCCTCAAACTCGAAATGATCCCCCTGCCTCAGCCTCCCGAGTGCTGGGATTACAGACATGCACTGCCACGCCCCGGCTCAGTTGCATTTGTAAGGAAGTGTTTTGCATCTCAGCTCTGCAACAAGTCCGTAGCACCAGAAATCCAGACCTTACATCAGAAAGCCATTAAAGCAGGGCTGTCAGAGGATGGTTTTTAAACATATGTATTTGTATGTGTTCTCTAAATTCAAACAACGCAGATGTCAGGCCAAATGAGATTTTTCTAACAAAACATTTTCATGTAGAATTTTATGCCAAAGTCAAAACAGGAGACTGAGGTGTAAGTAAACGTTCACGCCCCTGGCGAGTGGCGGGGGTCTCACCCGCATGCCGCAGGCTGTCAGTACACAGAGCCCAGTCACCTGGGCAGCTGAGTGTCGGAGAACAGTTGTTTTTTTAAACTGAACCCTCAGTATCCAGGTTTAGCTGCAGGTGTGGCACTTTGGGATAAATAAGTGGGTTTGGGGTTGCTGCTTGGTCACTCGACCTCTAAAAGGCTCGCTCGCCCTGCTCGATGCTGTTCTGGAGGCGCTAGACCTTTAGACACCTCACTGCCTTCGGGCTCACTGTCCCTTTCTTAGACCGCAAGCCTATGCTGTCTTTCGAGTGAAATGCATGGAAATGATTCCAAGAAGAATCTTCCCGTAATGACACCTTGGCACCAAGAATATGCTTTAGAAAAGTACACAAATTACCACTGAAGAAGAACTGCTGATCGAGTCACACTGATCAGAAGTGTGCCGAGCGTTCCCCTCTGTAACAGCACCCGTTTGTTAGAAGTCGTTAAACCTTGTGTCCCTTCTGTCTCAGACCTGTGTTCTGTCCTCAAGGCCCTTGCTCTTCAACTCCCCTCTTAGCAGCTGATAAATGTACTTGTTTTAACAATCTGTATTTCCTTGTTTACGTCACTTTTTTAACCCTGGTCTCCTCAAACACATTATGTCTTTGACGCTCTTGCTCAGGAGCGCTTTCTGTGCTCCCTTGGCAAGTGTGCTTCCAAGCTGAGCTCACGCCCGCGTCTCTCCTGGGTACCGTGGGTTTATTCCCAGCACTGGTTTCCCTGCAGATGACAGAGCCGGTTCAGCTGTGTTGCCTTTAATCCCCCTTTTATCCCCAGCGTTTTAGTTTTAATCTTTCTCTTTCTTGTTCCTCATTACGTTTTGTATTTCTAGAGCTCTTCTTTCCAATTGCATGTCGCTCAGCCTGTCTCTGAGTGGCCCCTGTTCTTAAACGCGTGCTCGTATTCTGACGTATTCATGTGCAGTTCTGGTTGGACTTCTTCAAACATCTTCATTTAAGTAGGGTCCCGGGGGGCGACCGCAGCTGCCTGTTCAGGCCCATCCTAGACAAAGGGCTGTGAGGCCCCTCTGCGGGCTGCGGGGTGCCAGCGTATGCTAAGAGAGCCGCAGGAAAATACAGCGTCGCCGCGGATGAGGTCTCGATATAGCGATTCCTTGTGAAAATCCAGTAGGATTAATTTCTGGTTTTTGCATCTGGAAGAAGGCTGGCTTCTGCGTAATTTATGTAGAGATACCTGAAAACAGTACCAAGCTCCCAGAGCAGTCAGAAGGTGTGGCGGTTTGTCATCTGAGGTCTGCTGCTCACTGGCTGAGTGAGTTCAGGGCAATCTCATGGTTTTCACTTATCACCCGGGAGAAGCTGAATTGGATTCCAAATCGTGTGGGTCCTTGGGAATCACTGCGGAACAGGACGAGGGGAGGGGAGGGCTTCTTCCTTCAGCTTGGACACACTGAGCTCCTCAGATTGTGTTTGAGAAAGGATTTCGTAGCACCTAGAAAAACAAGCCTAAAGCACCTGCTGCTTGCCTAGATTTTTGGATTCTGAGAAACACAGGACTTGGATAAATTGAGGTGGGGGAGGGGACAGCTCTAGCTTGGCAAGAATTGAGATGGGTACAGCTACTGTCACTGGAGTTGCTGCAGTCCCGGAAGGAGGGGCAGAGAATCTCAGTACAAACGCCAGTCGGATGAGAACAGCCCTTTAGGTCACACAGCTTTAGCATCATAGCTGCCTGCAGTGGGGTGAGAGTTCTGTTCTAACTAAAGTTCTGTTCATTAGATAGTAGCCCTGGGCCAGGCGGTAATCCCAGGCTGAGGCAGGAGGATCACTGTGAGTTCGAGACCAGCGTGGGCTACTTAGCGAGTTCAAGGCCAGCCTGGACTACACAGCAAGACCCTGTCTCAAAATAAGAAAAAAAAAGAAAGATAGCAGCCCCGAAGGATACACTGATTATGCAGAGGAGACTAAGGGAGCTCGCTGTGCGGTTCAAGATACTGGTTTCATCTGGTCAATTTTTAAAATTTCTTCTGGTTTTTAAAAATATTCATAGATTGGCTTAGGTTTTAAGCAGGCATTTTTCTAGAATTAGCATATGAAAACATTCACATTTCATCCTGTTTGAATCCTTTGTCCTCTTCTGAGACCTGAATATTTTAAGCAGCACGTCTCCACCCAAGTTTTCCTGCCTCACCAATTCAATTAGGAAGACAGATGCGGGAGGGTGAGTGTGCGGGGGCGTGCGGGGGCGGCGCAGCAGCCCTGCCGAGGACCCCGGGCGCCGCCGGCACTGGGCCCGGTCCCTGCGTGCGGAGAGGGAGGAGCGGTGCGGTGGGAGGGAGCCAGCCTTCAGATCGGGAACTTTTGTTTCCCTCCCAGACTGTGGGCGGGAATGCGCCGCGCGCATCTGGCAGGGACCTGAGTGAGGCGTCTTTGTTAGTTTTCTTTCTACTGTGGAACCTTGGCTCCTTCTCCCGAACGTTTGCTGCCTCCCGTGAGGCTGGCAGGTGACTGGGGAGAGGACCTCGGTCACCCCCTGCAGCGCCCCGCTTTTCCTGCCTCACGACCCAACCCTAAAGCCCTCGCTTCCCCCAAACGAGCTTCGCGCTCTCCCCCTCTCTTGTCATCCCTCAGGCCATGCAGGACGCGCTGGCTGAGCTTCCGGAATGGTACGGGATCAAGGGCATGCAGGCCCACTGGATCGGGGACTGCGTGGGCTGCCACCTGGACTTCGCGCTAAAGGTGAGCGGCAGTGGCGTCGCCTCCAGCGCCTCACGGGCTCCTTCCCGTCCTGGGACCCGCTGGGACTCCAGCAGCAAGCCACATACCTCGTGTTACACTGTCTGTGTGCTTCTTCACCTGCAAGTTAAGAGGGGAGATTGATTCGAAGAGCCTTTTATGGAACCGGTTAGATCCGAGCTGTTAGCCCTTCCAGATGGTAGCCATAAGCATGATTTCCTACAGAAACGTTTAAATTCCTGCTTTGGCACAGTCTTTGAGATCCGCCCTCTCACCGCCCACACTTCAACCCCTTAATGCCCCGTGGTGTCGCTGGCACTGCGCTGGCCCCGGCAGACAGAAGGTCTCTGGGGACCCGGGCCACCTTGGAGTCACGCGCACACCGTGGGCGTCTCCTTGAGCAGTGGGTCCTCGGCTGTCACTGTATTCTCAGAGAGGTCTGTGTCTGGTTGAGAGGCGGCTGGGGGGCAGCGGGAGGATATAGCTCAGCGGCACAGCGCCTGCCTGACCAGTGCAAGGTCCTGGGTTCAATTCCCAGTACCCAAAAGAAAGAAAGACAAGGGAGCAGAGGCCGACGTGCTTCACTTCTAGGCGTGCCCGACCCTGCTGCAAGGACTGTTCACATCCGGTGACGCAGGGACCTAAGGGAGGCCACCGCTGGAGGCTGCCTGGTCTGGAAAGGGCGCAGGACCGTCCTCCCCGTCTCTCCTAAGTCATTTCATTGCTGTGTTCTATGGGTCCAGGCTGGGTTTCCTCCTGCCTCAGCCTCCGGGTGCAGGGATTACAGGCGTGCACCACCACGCCCTCTAGTGTTCTCTTTCGACCTTCCGATTTCTCCTTCCTAATCAACACTGTGCTCTGTGTCCTCCAATCCCTGCCCTCGCCTTCACCCCTGCACAACATCCAAGAGGAGGAAGCAGCCAGGAGAGCGTTGGCCTCCCCGCCAGCTCTGCAGCACTGCAGGCCCCTGCGCGCCCACCCCTTGCTCCCACCCCCCTTCTTCCCTGTGCGGCGGGCGCAGAGGAGCTCCTCGTGGCTCCCGCCAGTGCCCAGAGGGTGCCTGCCCTTTGGAGACCGGGGTGACTTGTCTGGCCAGGCTGTTCCCCTCCACTTTCCTAGAAGTGGAGTTCTCCAAAGCGGCCAGCCCTCGGGAGGGGCGCTGCACGATCACCGATGCTCTGCCCAGGCTGAGGGCCTCCGTGGGGCTGTCTGGGCCCGTGGCTGCAGGATGGGACCGGGCTGTGGGGCCGGATGTCTGCGCCCTCTCCAGCATTTTATTACGCAGATGTCTTCCTCCGTTCAGGACCCACCTGCAGAGGAGGAGACCTCTGGCCCACAGGCCAGGCGCTGGGGTCGCACGCTGTGGTCCCTAACAGACACCCAGGCCACACTGCGCACCATCGGTCAGCTCCTCTTTGCCGCTGTCGCCGTGTCTGAGTCAGTGGCTAAGGAGGTAGCGCCCGACCTCCCGTCCTCTGTGTCCTCGGCTCCTCCAAGTCCGCCTCCTCGGCACTCCGGCGATGCCTGCGCTCTGCGCTGTAACAGCCCCCAGGACACTGGTGTGCGCCAGCTCTGCACAACCCTGCCCTCCTCTCCAGGCAGTCCTGACCCAGGGACTGACATTTCTCTGTGGATAATTGAGTTCCCTTCATTTTTCCACCAAACCCCTAAATCCCAGAGGGAAATACAGCTCCTTCTTCAAGACAGCAGCAAGACAACACTGACAGTTGCTTCTGATTTGCGACCAGGAAGGGGTCGGTCTGAGCGAGCGCTCACCTCCTTAACTTCTTCCTCTCGTCTGCCCGCCAGACCCGCCTCTGTCCTTGCACCTGGACAGAGGGGCTGTCCTTGGGAAAGCAGAGGAGGGGCACAGCGGGGGGGGGGTGCTCTCGCCAGGACCCTCACAGCCACAGGGCCCTGAGAAAGGAAGTAACCCTCGTGTCCTCCCGCCAGGTGGACGGGCGTGACACTGGAGAGAAGCTGACTGCCTACACGGCCACCCCCGAGGCCATCTATGGCGCTTCGCACGTGGCCATCGCCCCCTGCCACAGCCTCCTGCACAGGCGCAGCTCTCTGCGGGAGGCCTTGCTCGGGGCACAGGTGCCCGGGAAAGGTGAGTTGGCGTAGGGCGAAGGTGGCCGGGGTCTGGCCTCACAGTTGGCCCTTCCCGGAGCTCACGGCCTCCTCTCGTGGTCATCCTATGTGGTTCGGTCTTCACCTTCACCATACTTTATACTTTTAAAGCAGGATAAACCGGGCCTGATGTTGCACACCTGCAGTCCCAGCACTCGGATCGCCTTGAGTGTGAGGCCAGCCTGGGCTATGTAGTAAGACCCTGTCTCAAAACGAACAGATAAACAAATTTTAAAATTATGTATGTTTATATATATAAATAAGGCAGGGGGGTGGAAGAGCTGTAGAAATGAAGATGCTTGCCCCTGGTTTCACCTTGCCAGGAGCTCCAGTGAAAACCCAGTTCTTTGCCTTTCAATATAATCTTAATATAAGCTCTTTGCTGATAGGAATGGAATCTCCTCCTGAATCTGTCATCCCATCACTGAACAGAACTGCACTGAAAGGGACAAGACGGAAGCCCCTGAGAATAAGACACATTTTTGCAAGCATGGCTTGTATTATTTAAAAGCACTGAGATAGTCACCCACCCAGGCACACGGGGCCCTGCCAGGACAGGGTGTCACCAGACCTGCTCCATGTGTGCCAGTAGCCGCCCTGCACGTGGCATGGGTCTGGACGCTGTCCCTGATCCTGGAGACATGGAGGGTCTGGACTCTGGGGTTGCCGCCCACAGCGCCCCCTCTGGCTGACCGTAGGGAAGGGGCTGCATTATTGGACTGCTGCGGAGAGCCGCTGAGAACTAGCTGGGAAGAGGACTCGGACGGCATAGTGGCAGAGGGGGGCAGCGGGGAGAGGCTGTCCCTGAGCGCCGCTGTCAGCAAATCTCCGACACCACCTCCAGTGCCCGAGCACTTGGTCCAAGATGCCCGGTGCCAGGAATTTGGGGCCACCAAGGTCCGTGGGGGATGGGAGCATCTTTGGTTGAGGAGATGATGAGGGAGCAGCTTCCTACACAAACTCTGGCAGCCCCCACCTGAGGAGGAGGTGTGGGGTAGGAGCCCACGAGGGGAACGGAAGTCCCGAGTCAATTAGGAGTAGGTCTCTGCGGTAATTTAAGTGTTTCTACAAAAATCTCACCCCTACTCATTTGCGCAGACTGCAAACTTCAACCCAAAGGCCGCTGCTGAGGTCACTAAGACTGGGGTCCAAAGCAGGGTCTGACTCAGAGCTGCTGCGGGTGGTAACAGTTCGCTGTTTCTGAAGGAGCAGCTCGGAGTGTGTCAGAGACAGTGTCGCAGAAACTGCCCCTGCTTAAGATGCCCGTGATTTCCAGAGAACAGTAAAACCAGCGTTCAGACCAGGGACCTTTCCCGAGAGCCTCCTGGGCCGGGCCGTTCTTGTCCCAAAGTGCTGCGGGGCCTTCCGAGTGAAAATCACAGCTTGTGCTACAAGCCCGCTGTAACTGTCTCTTGGATTTATTTTCTCTTCTTACCCAAAAGAAAAATTGGGTTCTTTTCAGCTATTTTGTTGAAGGGGAAAAACTCATTGTTTTTCTCCTCAGGAGCAATTTGAGATTCCTTGAGGGCTATGACAGTTGTTCTAAAACTGAAAAACTTAAAAATTACAAACATCTCACCTTTACATTTTTGTTCCTGTGGTTCATTTGGGGACACAAATTAAAATGAGGTAATTTTAATAGGAGACTAGTGAACTTACAAATTATAAAAGATAAAGTTCCTGAGAGGAAAAACACTGCATTCAGAACATTTTCATATATGATAAATGGAGAAATTATTTTAGTACCTGCAAACAGCACGCTTGGATACTGGCACAGTGACTTCCTGATCCTCCGTTCTGGGAAATTTATTGCCAAGTGTAATGTTCCACTTGGAATAGCTACTTTCTCCCGTTTCAGTGATCTCTGACATAATTCCACGTGGAGCAGTACACTGGGCAGTACATTTTCCCAGGTCTAATTTTCAGAGTGGAAATATTATTTAGGCAGATGTCAGTTTATGCAGTCTCTAGACTCGTTTGCATATCAAGACCTTGAATTTGTCATGTGACACTGTCAGTCACGAAGGCCAGGAGGTGCACTGACTGTAATGTAACTTTCCCAAAAGGTAAGTTGCAGTGACCTGCAGACCCTGGATCTGTGCCTCTGGCCCTTCGGTGCCAGGTAACCCTGAGCGCTGTGTCGCTGCTGTCCTTTTCCCTTGGGCGTCGGGCTTTAGGCGACTGTTATGGCCGTGACCACTGAGAGTCCCTGTGGCAGACACTTGAGACCGGATTTAAACTTTATCTTTTTTCTTTCTGGAACCAGGAATCGAACTCAGCACCTTGCGCTTGCCAGGCAGGTGCAGTGCTGCCGAGTTATATTCCCGGCCCCTCCTAGGGCTTTGAATTCCCCATGAGGGCTCCTGCTGTTGCTAAGCTGTTGCTACGCTGGTCTCTACATTGGGTTCTTGATTCCCTCAGATGACCAAGCGTCCCGCCCGGCCGGCCTTGTCCCGAGAGCACAGGGGGCAGTGATTTCTGGGTGGAGCTCGCTCGGGGCGTCCGGAAGGCAGGCGGGGTGGGGTCCTGCTGGAGCCCCCGGCTTCTGGCCCCTCCGACAGGTTGTGGTGCTACTGACAGCGTGTGCTGTGCTGTACTTAGCAAATGTGGCTCAAGTGTCTTCAAGAGAGGAAAAGGTGAGGTGTTTCTAGGGCCCTTGGATTTCATTATTCCCCTGACCACCTCTTCCATCTTACTCTGTGCTCTCGGCCTTGTTAGGAATGAAAAGCCCTGCGAGGCAGCCGCAGGAAGTGTCAGGAAAGCCTCAGAGTGCCTGCCTTCCCCGGAGTCTTCCCTTGCGCCCGAGATTAAAATATTCAAACCCTGGGGCTTTGGAACCACGCGGGTCAGCTCTGAGCCGGTTATCCACACGGTGCGGCCTTTGCCCTGTGGGAAGTGAGGTCGGCAGAGGGTGACTTCGATCCCGGTTGTCACGGCCTGTCGGGGAGCAGCAGCCCTCCCCGCCCCAGGAGCTCAACAATTAGCTGCTCGCCGTGTTCCTGCCCTGCCGGTCTCTGATGTACCTGTGCGGGTGTGAGGAGCGGGGAGGGCAGATCCCTAACCCCGGGTAATGATCTCGTTTTGTTTTGTGTAGTTGTTTTAGGTTTGTTTGTCTTTGTGGTAACACAGCAATGGAACCCAAGACCTTTGCCCTGAGCTACATCCCCAGCCCTTTATTTTTATTTTGAGACTGGGTCTCGCTAAGTTGCTAGATTGCCCAGGCTGGTCTCAAACTCATGATCCTCCTCCCTCAGCCTCCGACTGCTGGGATTACAGATGCGCACCAGCACGCCCAGCTTCCATAACAATCCTACTGAAGTAAAATTCACACGCCATACAGCTCACCCGCTTAAAATGTGTGGTGGATTGGTTGCTAAGCTGTGCGCGGACCTGTGCGGCCGTCTGCACAAAGAAATCCCACGCCCTCTTGTGGTCACACACCGTCTTCCTGCCCAGCCTTGGCCCCAGCCAGCAGCGTGCCTCCCTCCGAATCCACAGACCCGCCTGTGCTAGCATTCCGTGTCAGTGGAATCGTGTGACCCCTGTCCCTTTACGTCTGGCTTCTGTTCAGTTAGCATAACGTTTTCACAGCTCCTCCATATTATAGCCTGTCCCAGTACTTCCTTCCTTTTTATTCCAAATAATACTCCGTTGTGTGAATGGACCACATTTTGTTTATCCACTCATTAGCTGATGGTCATTTGAACTATTTCCCTTTCTTTTTGCTATGGTGAGAAATGCTGCTATAGCATTCTTGCAGATCTCTGTGTGGGCACAGATTTTCATTCCATTTGAGTCTTCTGCTAGGTGTGGAATTGCTGGGCTGTGTAGTAACTACTTGGGGAATTGCTAGAATGTCTTCCAGCTCCAAACGTGCGGTCCCCCCGGCAGCCAGCAAGAGGCCCAGGCCTCCGCCTCCACATCAGTGCCTGTCATTGTCTGTGTTTCCCATTATCCTGGCAGTTGTGAAGTCCTGGCTCATCGTGGTTTTGCTGCTTATTTTCCTGATTGCTGATGATGTCAAGCATCCTTTCATATTCACGTTGCCCATATATATTTTCTTTGGATTTAGTCTTTTTTTTTTTTTTTTTTTTTGAGACAGGGTCTCGCTGTGTAGTTCAGGCTGGCCTTGAGCTCACTTTGTAGCCCAGGCTGGCCTCAAACTCGAAACGATCCTCCTGCCTCAGCCTCCCAAGTGCTGGGATTACAGACTTGCAGCACCACGCCCAGCCTTCCTTTGGATTTATATATCTTCTCTAGAGAAACATAAGATTTATAGATCTTCTTTGATACATCTTTACATATAGATATATAGATAATATATGTAATTATATATTGTATAGATAGCATATCTATTATATAATACATTACATAGATAATATGTAATAATGGATATATAAATACATAGATTTATATATCTTTTTTTACTTATATATCTTCTTTGAAGAAATGTTTATTCAGATCTTTGCCCACTTTAATTTTTATATATTCTGGACATACTCGCCTGTTGGATACATGCTTACAAGAAATTGTCTTTTCATTTTCTTTAAAACACAAAAGACTTTTCTTTTCTTTCTTTCTTTGTTTCTTTGTTTCTTTGTTTCTTTCCTGTGCTGGGATGGAACCCAGAGCGTGGTACACGGCAGAGGAGGGTTTTACTGTTGACCTACATCCCCAGCAAGGTTCTCATTGTGATGAAATCCAATTTATCCGTTTTGTCTTTTGTCTATTTGTTCCCTTTGCTTTTGGTGTTTAATCTAAAAAACTATTGCCTAGAAAGGTCGTAGCGATTTACGTGTATGTTTTCTTCTGTGGGTTTTGTGGCTCTGGATCTTAGGTTAGATCCTTAATCCTTTTGGAGTTAATTTTTATATGTGGCAGGAGACAGAGCCCCAGCTTGACTCTTCCACATGCAGCCAGTCACCTTAGTTTTAATTCATGTTCCTGTCACATCTTAAAAATCAAATCGTGTCTGCTTCTTCATTTTTTTCTCTTCACTTAATATCTATCAGAAAATGTTCATTTTGTGTGCAGGCTTTGCCATTATTTTTAATCCATGTACAATATTCTATCAGCTCAGTTTACCATAGTATCCTAAATCATCTCTATTGGATTGAACGTTTGACTTTCTGCATGTTTGAGCCTGTAGTACAGATTGCTATGAACATTTTGTCCACAAAGGTTTTTATAGAATTTTCCTTAGGAGATAGTCCTAAGAGTGAGGTTTTTTGGTCAGGTGAAAGGCATGAACATTTTTCTAGTTCTTGTTATAAGTTGCTTTTATTGGTTTCTGAAGGGACTTTCTCAGCTTATCGTACCATATCCAGTGATAAGTGACTTTGCTGCAACTTCACAAACAGATGTTAACTTTCTAAGTTTCTCCTAACTTACCGAATATATAAAATGACACTTGAAGATTATTTTAATTTTTATCTCTCTCTCTTTTTTTTTGGTCTTTTTGAGACAAGGTCTTTCTGTGTAGTTCAAGCTGGCCTTGAACTCACTTTGTAGCCCAGGTTAGCCTTCAACTCACAGTGATCCTCCTGCCTCAGCCTCCCGAGTGCTGGGATTACAGGTGTGCGCCACCACTCCCAGCTATCTTTTAAAAATTACTGTTTTAAAAATTCCAAATGATACATGTACACTATGTGAAAAGTCAGTGAACACTAACAACAACCGCAAAAAGAACTAGCTCAATCCTGTAATGCCAGCACTCGGGAGGCTGAGGCAGGAGGATTGCTGTGAGTTTAAGGCCACCCTGGACTACACAGTAAATTCAAGGCCAGTGTGACTTGCATAGTAAGACCCTGTCTCAAACAAACAGAATACTAACAATATATCTACAACAGTGGCCTCCTCTCACAGCAGTGTCTAATCATTTTAGGTCAGTGGTAGTTGGAATGTGAGTTTAGTGGCTATGCCGGGTTCCATGATAAGCCGGAGTGTCTTTCCTGCTCTCCAGCAGCTGGGGGGCTCAGGAGTCTCTCCACTGCCCTGCCCACTAGGGTTTTCACAGTAATCTGCATTTCGTCTTGTTCCGGTGCAGGACAGGGCCAGGAGAGGGGCGAGCCTTTTCCTCCGTGGTCCAGACCTAGAAGTTGCTCCTGGACCCCCAGGGCCCCAGGCCGCTGCACAGGAGCTGGAAGCAGCCGCCCACGCCAGTGCAGCCCGGCGTCCAGCCAGTCCACCGCCAGATCAGAAGGGCAGACGCAGGGTCAGCTGGAGCGAGGGTGGTTTTTCTGGCATAGACCTGCATGTCTGTGTGAGTTGCCAGCCCTGTTGTCTGTCCCTCCAGGAACGAGCCCTAAACAAGAGCTCCTGACTGTCACTTCCGCCCCAACCCCAGCCGCCAGCCTCCTAACGAGGGAATGTTTAATCTCCTACTTCGGAACTGGCAAATGCATCAGAAAGCACAATCTGTAGTCAAATATGGGTCTCCGCTCGGGGACCCGGCCGTGGGCCCCTCCCAGTGGGTGCATCTGCGCCCGGGTGCCAGCCGAGCCTGTCTCACTCCGTGCCGGACCCCCGAGGTGGAGGAGGATCAACGCTGCTTTGAAGCCTGCAGGGCTGCCTTAGCTCTTTGAAGTATAAATCCTAACTCCTGGGCTTACTTTAATATGGGAGTTTTAAGATATGCTTTAGATAATTACGGGAAGTCTTAAGACATGACGAGCATTAGAACGTATGAGTTAATTGGTTATAGCAGTTAATGGTTGCGTTCTGAAGAAAGTTCAAATGAACTCACTGCCATCGCTTCTCGGCCGTTTGGCCAAGATCAAGCGTGAACTCGCTACCATAGTGGTCTATTCACCAGCTCTCCGCCTTCTTCTCTGGGCCTTGATTTAGGTCTTCCGCTTCCCGCCCTCCTCTTATTGAGTGAGGATAGACACATGTGGCTTGTTCCCCCGGGGTGATGGTTACTGCAGCTAAGACGGTACAGTGTTGGATAAGTTCAGTATTTTATTGTGACGACGCACATACACACGTGAGCCGTGTGTATTACGATCACATTTTCCTTCGCATTTTCCCTGAAATCCATAGCGCCCTCTCTTTTTTGCTGTGTCTTCTTTGAACTTTTGCTCCAGTCTTACCCGCATCTTGGTCCCAGCTCTTCAAAACTCCTCTCAGTCCCGTTTTCCACCGGTTTCAACCCACCCGCGAATCTGTCGGTCCCTCTTTTCCTGAAGATGCTTCCTGGGGAGCCGTCCTGCTGGGATCTGACCTGCGCATTCCCCCGTTTTCTGCGGCACGTCGGACCTCGCAGACCTCTGCTGTCATCGTTCGGTGAATGCCCCTCCCGTTTTCCTTTGCAGCACGCTGTTTCTGCATCCTATATCCGATCTTTCTTTTTCATTTAACCCCTTGTTTTGCTGGAGCATGTCCTGCAGTAGCTCCTACAGAAAGCGTACATGGGAAAGAGCTGTTTAGGGTTAGGATGTCCACAACCTCTTTGTCATCTTCTAGCCCCTCTCTACTCTATCTTAAGGTGTTGTCATTTGAAATTTCACCTCTCCTACCCTCACTCAAGATAGATTTTGTGTGTGTTGCTCTTCTGTATATTAGAGATGTTTTTCAAAAGGAAAAGACAGTGAGGAGAATGTCCTTTGAGCTCCCCAGCTGGAAAGTAAATATGCTATTCTTACTTCTTTGCTCCTGAGCGCAGATGAACATGTTCTTCCGGGCTTGTTTAATGTCTTCGTGTTCCTCTGGTGTAAATGTCCTTTTTTAAATTTTTTTGGTTTTTCGAGACAGGGTCTCGGTATATAGTCCAGGTTGGCCTTGAACTCACAGGGATCCTCCTGCCTCAGCCTCCTGAGTGCTGGGATTATAGGTGTGCGCCACCATGTCCCACAGGAGACCATGATTTCCCTATTATCATCAGGAGACATGAATTTCCTATTAATACCTTTCGAAGGGCACACAGCCCGACACTCAGCAGATCTAGCCCCTGTTTTTCTCAGTTGTCTCCTGAGACACGGAGGGGACCAGCGTCCCCAGTGACAGACGTGCACCGTGGCTTGCTGTCCTTTTCAGATTGCCTCACTCCCGTGGTGGCTGTGAACAAGCTCACCTGGCAGGAGGTCCCTGTCATCATCCTGGCCGAAGCTGACCTCGGGGGCTCTCTGGATTCCAAAATAGGTAAGCAGCTATTCACATGTCATCACCACCATCTAATACCGGGACGAAACCCAGCTCCTGCGCTGTGGCTGCTCTCGGAAGAGCCCACCGTGGAGTCCGTGGTATTCTGCCTTGTGCGTGTGGCGCTGGGGACTGAACTCGGGCCGCGAGCAGGCTGGGCCAGTGTTGTACCCGAGCTCCAGCCCCGCCCCCTCCCTTCCCTGTAGTCAGCCTTTATTGAAGAATAGTGTTTGAAAGCGTTAATTATATCGCACCCGGCCAGTTACGGTGGAAAACGATAAACAGTGCCTGGCCCCTGGACGGAGAGTTAGCTGGCGAGACTTAGACGCATGCATTGGGAACGGTACGGCTCAGATGAAAATCCGGAATCAGGACTCAAACAGAGCCATCGGGTGCTGAGAGGGGTTCTGACCATGGAACCAACCCGGGCTCTGGTGACGCCCTGGTAGGAGGTGAACTTGAGCTCAGGAGAGATTGTGAGGCAGCAGTGGAGCCGAGGCACGGTGAGAAGTGTGCACTGGGTGTCCTCAAAAACTGTCACCCTGCAGCAGGAAGTTTGGGACAAAAGCCGGCAGCCTGCGAGATGGCCCTGTCCAGTCTCCTGCCTGAGGCCCCAACCTGTGCGTCTCCCTGCAGGAGATTCCAACCCTAAGATCACACCTGTTCCCTGGTAAGGCTCAGACCAACATTTGGTTGTGTTTGGGCAGTGCTGGGGCTCAGGCCCAGGTCCTCACACTTGCCAGGCAAGTGTTCTACCGCTGAGCTACTCCCCAGCACAGCGAGTCAGCTGCTGATGAAGGGACTTGTGGAGCCTCAAAGCAGAAAATAGATGCTCAAGCCGGGCGTGGTGGCTCACGCCTGTAATCCCAGCACTCGGGAGGCTGAGGCAGGAGGATTGGTGCGAGTTCGAGACCAGCCTGGGCTACAAAGTGAGTTGAAGGCCAGCCTGAACTGCAGAGAGAGACCCTGTCTCAAAAAGACAAAAAAGAGAGAGAGAGAATGGGTACTTGGCCGTTCAGATCTACTCTTCTATTTAAACCTATTCATAATCCCTTCTATTACCCTTACGCATTTTGTAATTAGGAAAATTTATCAAAATAGTCAGCCAGGATAAACAATAAGGCAGCTCCTGTTGATATGGCTGCCTGGGATTTTGTCGTTATTCTTTGATATTTTGAGTGAAATCACTGACACAATATTGGGAGTTCAGAAGGGAAAGGCAGACTTCCTAGGCATGCCTGGAAAATCTCTTCTCCTGTGGCCTCAATTCCCTTTCACTGCATCATTGGCGTTTTATAAACCATCACCCCTTGCCCTCCAGGAAGGGCAGAAGCAGAAAGAAAAAAGAAAACAAGAGATAAAGCCGTATTTCTGCCATCCCACCTGTACCGTTACCAATAGTTCACGTCCCACGGAGCTTCCTAACACTGGCGCCTGGTGACGGGGAACACTCTTTATACGGCCAAATAAATTTTGTGGTCACCGCGTCTCCTTGCACTCGTTACTGCAGCCTGCACACTTGGTGTGTAATAAACGGCTATTCCTGCTCCTTGACCGTGAGCCCTTTCTGTTCGGTTTATCGCTGGCCGTTTGTCCTGCCCCTTGAGTCCACTCTGTGTCCCTCACTTCAGCCGGTGCTTCCTGCCACAGCCTCAGCTGGAGCCTGCAGCGCTCCGCATCCCGCAGCTGCTGGCATCTTGCAGAGAAAAGGGCGTTCACACCCGTCCCCCAAACGTCAGGCCTCAGCGGTGGCAGGGAGTCCCATGCAGGGAGCACTGTGGATAGGGGTCACCCCCCACGGTGCATGGGACTACCCACAGCAGAGCCCCCAGCATCCGAAGCACCCAGCTTGAAAAACAGCACCCTTTGACGGAGCACGGGAACAGCACCGGGGGCAGCCTCGGAGTTACGATACTCACCTCGCTCCCTCGAGGATGCGTGGCGGGGGCCGAAGGGTCGGTGTCCATGCGGAACAAAACAGTCACCAGCTCTAGACGCCTGGGCCTGGTGGGTGCCTAGGGTCTGGTGTCCCTGCTCCCCTAGTGAGGGCCACTGTCCTCGTCACTGCGGGACTGAAAGAGGGGCCTCTCAGGTGCTCGTGATCCGCTGTTCCAGGGACCTGAGGTACGTTAGCATTCACAGCTATTGAAAAAAACCAGGCAAAGGAAACGGACTAAAGGAAGCAGCGTGTCGGGCAGGGCGTGAATGGCTGTGGTCTCCAACCTGTAAACTAGCAGAGAGGCCTCCTGTGGGAAGCTCGGCTGGCCAAGCGCCAGCACTGTTGTTCTTGGTGACGGGGGCACGTGCAAAGATGTGTTGTGCTCCCCGCCCCGCAGGAATTCCCAGCACCAGCCCGGAGGACGCCCGCCTGGCCCACGCCCTGCGCCTGACCTACTCCGACGTCATCGAGACCCTGCCAGATGGCACGGAAAGGCTGAGAAGTTCTGCCGAGGTGGGTGCCCGGCCTGTGCCTAGGAACTCCTTTCTGGACCCCTGGCCTTTTCCTGCAGAGCCCGTGACATCTTGCCCTTGCTTCTTTGTGAGAACAAAATGTAGTGTTGCCTTGGTTCACAAACTTGATGCTTCCCACGATTCCAGTCGCAAATCAAATTGGTCTCAAACTAAATCAAATTCATTGGCCAGGTTCACTGTTCACCTTATGGGAAAATTTGATTCTAAACTCTCAGAAATCCTCCTGCCTCAGCTTCCCTAATGCTGAGATTACAGGCATGCGCCACCACGCCCAGCATGGTTTTTATTTTTATGAGTTCATCTTTGCAGGGCGTACTGATTCCATGCCTCATGGGGAGCTGTGCATGGACGGAACACATCTTCTTTCTTGTCCCTTGTCCCTGCTCCCTGTCTCTCTCGGTGCCCTTCCTGAGGGTGCTGCAGTTTCTCGAAGAGATGACTGCAGTTGGCTCCTCTTCCCAGGGAGAGATCTGGTCTTTCCCGACCACCTTTTCCACCTGACTTGAACTCGTGTAGAAATGAAGAGAAGGTCTGAGTTACGTCATCCGGTCGGGGTGGCTTCCTGACAGCTTGGGACAGCAGCGCTGGAAGATGGTGCGAGTGTGCAGGACTGGAGACCGCTGTGCCCTGCCGTCCCAGGCTGCTCGGGCTGGCGAAAGGGAACTGCCTTTGGCACTGTCGGCGTTCCCGGCTGCTGTCCGCGAAGCGGGAGCGTTTGGGTATGAGAAAGGAGCGGCCTGTCTCTCGGAGCCCCCGATGGCCCCGTTGCCTTCAGGGTACTGAGCTTCGCCCCCCTAGGTGTTCCTCCTCCAGCGGGGAGGTTATTTCCGGTGCGCACCGGGCCGGCTCCGCTGGTGCCAGAGTGCTGGGATTTGCTTGTCTCTGCGAGTACTACAGGGCCCGGCCCCAGCGTGCTTTTAGGACCTCTCCTGAAAGATTTTAATTTCTTCTAAAATCGAAGAACTTTTGGGGCCAAAAATTATATTCGTCTTTGTATCGGTGCCGTCATAAAGTGCAACCTCTGATATCTTCTTAAGGGGGGGCTGGCCGTGGCTGAGGCACCAGGGCTCAGAAAGTGGGGTGCGGCCTGCGCATGCGCGCGGCGGCTCAGCTCGGGGTGGCCAGCGTGTCCCCTCCCGCAGTTCACAGGTCTCACGCGGCAGGAGGCCTTCCTGGCCGTCACCCGGAAAGCGCGGCAGATGCGCGTGGGCGGCCACGTGACGAGCGACAAGCTGAAGGACTGGCTGATCTCGCGGCAGCGGTACTGGGGCACGCCGATCCCCGTCGTGCACTGCCCGGCCTGCGGCCCGGTGCCCGTGCCCCTCGAGGACCTGCCCGTGACCCTGCCCAGCTGCGCCTCCTTCACAGGCAAGGGCGGCTCCCCGCTGGCCGCGGCTTCCGAGTGGGTGAACTGCACCTGCCCGAGGTAAGGCGCCGCGACCCCGCGGGGACAGTACCGTCCCCCGCGCCTCCCGGGTGGCTTTGAAACTTGGATGGGAAGCAGGAGCTCGGGGAGCCCCGGGCCACTGGCGGGAATTCCCACCCCCCGGGTAAGGTGGGAATGTGGGCTCCAGGAGGAGACGCCCCCTCTCCGCTGACACAGTGAGGAAGACTTCCGTGCTGGCCGGGGCAGGAGGGGTGGCAGGTTTCCCAGGCTTGCATACTTCCTGGAGAAGGCAGAGGCCAGGGCTGACAGCCGCTGGGCAGTGCTACCAGGTGAGGTGGCACAGAGGGTGGGCTGCAGCCACCATGTCCAGCAGATGGCTCTCACTCGTATGTGTCAGTAGCCGGTGTCTTGTACATATGGACAAGAAGTCCATAACACATCTTCCTTCTTTCTCTTGTCCTTTCTCCGCTCCCTCTGCATCTCTCGGTCCCCTTCCCCTTGGCTAAAGCGCTATCTCCGTTTCCCATTATCCACCTTTTTGTCTTGCTCTTTATATATACTTTGGGTTTCTCATAAAGAAACCACACGATATTTAAGCGCGTGTGTCTGATTTATTGCACTTAACATTACAGTCTCAAGGTGCATCTGTTTTCTTACAAATTGACCTAAATCTATCCTTCTTTATGGCAGAGTAGTACTCCATGGTGTGGAAATACCACATTTTCACTATCCATTTGTCTGTTGGTGGACATACAGGCCTCTTCCGAGAATTAGCTGTTATAAACTGTGCGGCCGTGAACATGGCTGGGCATGGATCACTGTAACTCGATGTCTTTAACTCCTTCAGGAAGACACCTAGAAGGGATGTAGCTGGGTAGAATGGAATTTCTCGTTTTAGTTTTCTGAGAGTCTCCGTATGGATTCACACAGTGGTGCTAAGGGTGGATTCTTGACTCTTGAGCTCCAAGGCCTTGGAGAGGGGGGCAGTCTCTTAACCACTTGAAATACAGAGTGGGGGGGTGTGTGGCTTCGATGTCATAGTCCCAGGATTACAGGGGATTAGTGGAGAGGACGCACTGGACAGCACCCGCTCCCTGGTGTTCAAATGCTGCTCCTGCCTTCACCGACATTGCCGCCTGCCAGGGGCCTCTTTCTCGTCACCTACTATCTTGGTTACTTTTCTCTCCTTGCTGAGACAAAACATCCAGCGCCCAAAATGAAGCAAGGAAAGGTTTATTTAGCTTTTAGTGGTGGCTCCCAGGCAGAAAATAACAAAGCAAGAGCAAAGGGGGGAATGGCAGTGTGTGCAAGCCTCTTTCTCTCCCTTATACTGTAAGCAGGCGACACCCCCACCCAGGGGGTGGCACTCACATGGTTAATCTTCTGAACTTCTCACGTTAACACAATGAACAACATCCTAGAGCAGGAAGGGCGTGTCCTTTGCACCCCAGAACTGCTGAGTCACTTAGCCAAACCTGTAGACTCCCCAAGTTGACCCAGTGTATCAGCCGCAACACTCCACCCCTTGTCAACTTGGCAACCAGAGGCATTTCTTTAAACCAGTTTCCAGGCACAAAGACATTATATTCCATTAGAACCATAACATTTCACACCCTAAAGACTCATGCACATCCCCTTATGCAAAAGGCATTTAGTCCATCTGCAAGAGTTGCCAAAGTCCTAACAGTTTCAGCACTGCTGAAGAGTCCAAGTCCCAAGTCTCCTCCAAGATGTAAGGCAAACTCTTAGCTGTGACCCCTGTACAAATGAAAAGTTAAATACTTCCAACATTCAATGGCACAAAATAAACAGTACCATTCTAAAAGGTACAAACGGGGACACAGCATTGGTACCAAAGCAAGTCCAAAATCCAGCAGGGCTAACGTTATGTCCTATAGTTCCATGACCAGCATCTGAAGCAACTTGTGGCACATTGTGAGCTCCAAAGCGCTTGTATGAGTCCACCCCTGTGGCACTTCTGGTGGTTACAGCTTCCACGGCTTCTCTCTTAGGCCTGGTTTGCTCCCTCCTTGCAGCTTTCCTTTGATGATGCACAGACCTGACTTTTCTAAACTTCTGAGGTCTCAAAGCGCACCTTCACACTCACAGCCTCACACACTGCCCCCTCGGGCACACACTGCCTGGGCTCCAAGGCCTTCTGAAATCTGGGTGGAAGCCTCTTTAACCTCAGAACTCTTGCACTCACCATGCACCTAAAGCCAGGGCCACGGGGATGATGCCAAGGTCTGCTGCCACCTGGAGCAGTAGCCAAGCTTTCCTCTCTCTTGGCTGTAGGGGTCAAGTGCCTGGATCACTGGGCACTCTGAATCCAATTCTGAGGAACAAATTTTCTATGCTGCTGTCATTCTGGAATCTGGTGCCGCTGCCACCATTCTGAAACATGGTGCTCAGCAGGTTTCTTCTCAAGGCCAGGTCTGTCACCTTTGCAGTTTTGAGGCTGCACAGGGTGGAGACTTGCTGCTTCCTGTGATGCCTTCAGGCCATCTTTTCTATTCTCCTGTTCCTTCTCAGCAATAGAGATCTCCTCAGCCTTATCTTTGCAGTCCACAGCTTTACTGGAGCTTCCTTTCTGGCCAAACTCACAACATTTTTAAATCATCCTGCTGGGCTCTTTGCTCTTGATTCTCAATATAAATCTGGCTAAAAGCCCCCAGCAATAGCCATGCCACTTCCCCAACATTCGACTGCCTTGAAATTTCTTTTGCCAGATTAATCACTCCACTGCCACCCTTAGTCTCAGTCTTAGGCAAAGTCTCTGGACATGAGCAAATGGAGACAAACTTTCTGCCAAGCCATAACACATATCGTCTGGAGTCCAACGACCAATGAAGTTCTTCTTGCCAGCAGAAACCTCCCGAACCCGGTCTTTACTGGCAGGATTTCTATCAGCTTTCTGATCTTCTGAGCTCTGACCAGAATCTCCCAAACAGAATAGCCGAAGGTGTTCGAGCTCTACTCTTTCAGGCAACATCTCCGAACCTTTCCAAACTCTTCCCACAAGCCATTTCTGAAGGCTCTTGAACCATATGGTCAGGTATAGTCACAGCAACGACCCCACTCCTCTGGTACCAAATTCTGTTTTGGTTACTTTTCTCGTTGCTGAGACAAAACACACAACACCCAAAATGAAGGAAGGAAAGGTTTATTTAGCTTACAGTGGTGGCTCGAGGCAGAAGATAACAAAGCAGCAAGAGCAAAGAGGGGAATGGCAGTGCTTGTAAGCCTCTTTCCCTCCCTGATATTGTAAGCAGGCGACCCCCACCCAGGGGGCGGCACTCACATAGTTAACCTTCTAAACTTCTCACGTTGACACAATGAACAACATCCTAGAGCACGAAGGGCGTGTCCTCTGCACCCCAGGATGCAGCACTGCTGAGTCACTTAGCCAAGCCTCTAGACTCCCCAAGTTGACACAATGTATCACCCATAACACCTGGTTCCAGTGTCCACACTGGGACAAGGTGGTTGTCTTCAGGCTCAGCAAGGCCTGGAAAGGAGCTGTCAGGATGGTCAGCCAGAAGCCAGCAGTTTCTATCATAATATTTTCTCCCTCGCTGATACCCATGCACAAATGAGGTGAGGAAGAAAAAGTCGCCTTTATCTTCTAATTATTTCCCAAAATAGTGTCTGCGTTCTGGCGACCACACTCCAGATAAAAAGACCTGGATTTGTCTGTAGGTAAACTGTTGAGATCAGCGGCTCTGGGTGGCAGGAACCAGGGTCCCAGGCTTTGCTGACAAGCTCGTGTCCAGCAGGAGACCCCAGAACTAAAATGCAAGCTCTTGGGGTCCTGAACCCCACCGCACCCACAGCTCTGAGCTCTCTGCTCAGCCCCCTTGATTTAATCAGCGGACATGGGCACCAGGACGAGGGGTTGGCTTTCCCTTCTGTAGTATTTGAAAAACTGATACGAACAGCTTCACAAATGCTACACAGAAGACACAGCCTTTTTTGTTTTATAATTAAAAACAGACTCAAGTCCTTGCACGTTTAGTTAGCAGAACATCCGTCATTTCCTCCCCCTCCCCGCTCTCGGGGAACCCGAGGACGCTCCCTGCCTGAAGTCCTGTGTATGGGGGCAGCTGGCCTCTCACTCCTGCAGAGGGTCCCCGTCGAGAGCTGGCTGGGCTGTGGACTGCTGACCTGGGCCAAGGTCCTGGGGTGGAGCCCCCGTGCTAGGCCCGACTAGAGCCAGCCCCTCCGCTTCCTGGGTGGAGTGGCTTTCAGCGCCCAGTTCTGACCCACACCCCTCAGGGTGATCTAAGAGTCGGTTTGGCCCTAGGACAGAGATTTGTTTTCTTCTCCACCCTTCACACGGAGGAGGCTGTCTCCACCCTCAGTGAAGAGCCCACCTTTGGGCAGCGCTGTGCTCAGAAATTCAGAACAACCAGCTCCCCGCGGGACTTACGGTTTGCAATGTTTGCTGATTTCTGTGGCGATCACACCCCCAGCAGAGCTCATTTCAGGCCGTAAACTTCATGTGGTCTGATGCAGAGTTGAGACAAGAGGCTGACAGTTGATTCCCACGAGCTGGTCGGGGCTGGGTCTGGTACACCCCCGCCTTGAGGGCTTCCAGGGTCATTTGTCTTCCTGGGCTGCCGGGTAGAGTCCTGCATCCCTCGCCCTAGCACAGCAGTGGAAAAGAAAACCAAGTTCCTTTTACAGCGGCCTCGCTGCATTTGGTCCTGAATTTCTCTTCATACATTGATTTGCTTAAAAGCGTCCTAAAGTTGGCAGTGGTTGGAGGCACCCTGTGCCTACATAGTCAGCAGCATACAAAAGACACCGCCCTGTCTCACCCTTGCGGGTGGTTAGATTTTCTACCAGGTTAACTGAAGAGAAGTAGAGAATAAGCTTTGAAATATAGAAGACTGAAATTTTCATGTTGCAGGGTTGCTTCAAACATCAGCTTTCTCTGCATTACCTTCTCGTGATGTGGCCTTGTTATAACATTTAAAATTCCTGCTCAGCACGGCTCTCTCGAAAGCTGGTGGGAAACTGCATTACAATGTAAAGAGAGTCCAGCTGATGAACTCTGTTCATTTCCTAGGTGCAAGGGAGCAGCCAGGAGAGAGACAGACACGATGGACACCTTTGTTGACTCCGCGTGGTACTACTTCCGGTACACAGACCCCCGGAACGCTCACAGGTGATGCCCCTGCTTGGTCCCCAAGCGTGTGTCACCTGGGGCCCCCAAGGGACGGGCCCCGCGATGGAATTAGAACCGTCTGGACAGGATATAGGCAGAGGAGCCCACAGGCCAGGGTACAGAGGTGACGGGAAGGGAGCAGCAGGAGCGCTGGGGTCGAGGTCCCCGAGTCCTGGGAGCAGCCAGGCAGCGCAGGCTGGTGGGAGCCCTGCACAGGTGCAGACGCCGCAGTGGGACGGTCTCCGTGCAGGTGCAGCGTAGCGGCAGCGCACTGGCCTTGGTGAGCCAGGCCCTGGGTTTGATCGCCAGGACTACAAAACCAAGCAAAAAAGGAAAAAGAAAGCCAGGCTCCAGTAAAGGCAGCGTGCTAAATTCCCTGCCAAGTGCGTCCCCATGTAAGACAGGCAGACAGGAAACGGGAGGGCGCTCTCGCCGCTCCATCCTTACTGTGTGCTGCGTTACCGCTGTCATCCTGTAACGTGGTTTTCCTAAAATAACGCAGTAACTGCAGGGAGCGCGCAGGGTAAGGGTTGGGAGAGCTGAGGGGCGTCGCCACTTGTCTCACACAGTCAGTAGGTAGCTCCGAAGTGGGTGAATCCATAAGGAAGATGAACATAGCTCTTAAATAATGGTCTGAAGAAGCAGCTGAAGAGTCAAAAGTGGGTAAGGGACAGCTCAGGAGGAAGGGGAATCCTGGGGCTGAAGACCTGTTTGTGTGATAAATCTTGCACGTACCATTTGATTGTGTGGACAGGTGTGTGTGTGAACGCGCATGTCTGAGTTTTTGTTTTTTGTTTTTGGTTTTGGTTTTGGTTTTTTTGTCTTTTTTGAGACAGGGTCTTGCTATATAGTTCAGGCTGGCCTTAAGCTCACTTTGTAGCCCAGGCTGGTCTCAAACTCAAAACGATCCTCCTGCCTCAGCCTCCCAAGTGCTAGGATTACAGGCATGTGCCACCATGCCCGGCACGCATGCCTGAGTGCATGCATGTCTCTTTGAAACAAAAAAGTAAAAAATTAATGGAAAGAGCTTAAAAGGACCTTGCTGGGTGGCTCTTGTCCATGGTAGGAGTGCTCTGGAGCCCTATCGGGGGCATACAGAAACGCTGCCTTATTCTTTATTGGCTGCAAAATAATATTCTCTGGTGAGAGGGGCGCTCCTGCCCTCCCTTGGCGGAACCCTGACCTGGAGTACTGCGGTCCGTGATTGGAGCCCTTAGGACGTGAGTGGGATGCAGAGTCTGTGGTCTCCTGTGCAGGCACAAAGGGTGCCGGCTCACCCACCCAGGGGCCCTCCTTGGTGGCCATCCTTCGAGGAGGGACAGGGGTGCTCCCCATGGAGGAGCAGCCGGCTGGGATCACCCGTCTCAGCTCCTCAGCCTTCATACAGAGGCGCGACGCCAGCACCATGCAGGCCCGTGGCTGGTTCCAGGGACGTCTGGGGACCTCCGTGGCTGCCCACTTGTGACCAGCCCAGAGCCTTCCTCGCCCGCTAAGCCTGCGCACGGCCCAGGCTCCCGCTAGCTTGGGTTCCGGGTAGAACATCCGTCGTAGCTGCTGCTACTGTCAACATCCCACCCCTTAATTTATCCCAAAACTGTTCCCAGCCAAATATCGTCCTTCACTTCCTCTCCGTTGCCTGGATCCGCAGTCATATTTCTTGAGGGAACCATTTTTTCACAAAGAAAAAAATTGTTTTAACCCACCAGAATGTTGGCATAGTAACTGGAGGAGAGACACAGCTACCGCCAGACAACCTGCTGAGGGCTCTGGGGACCAGGGCCCTGGGCTGGGGCAGGGAGAAGCCACAAGAGCCAAAGCCTCAAGGTACCAACCTGAAAAGGCAAAGGGCTGCGCAACCGCCAACCGCACGGGAAGTCACGGCGCGGGGAGTGGAGGGTCCATCCCACCCAGTGCTGCCCTCTTCCTCCAGGGTTCTAGCTGGAAGATGGGGAGGTGGCGTCTCCTCCCTTCTCCTCTCCTCCCCTCTCCTTGCCTGTTAGGCGCAGGCCTGGAGGGAGCCTGCCTTTTAGAGTCTGCGTTGGCCTAAAGGTATCCACAGGTGAGAGCTGCTGGGCTCGTTTATGACAGCTGGACCCTCAGTGCGCTTCCGTGCATTCGGTGAGCACATACACAGGCTCCTGCTGACTATTTTAAAGCTACTTTTAAATGTAAGACTGAATTTGTTTTAAATTGAATTTTAGCATCTGCACATTAGTCTATTCTGAGTGCCACCTGGCCCTCTATTGGTAAGAACTCAGATATCTCAATTGTGTAATCCTAAGAAAAATTAACATACATCTAGATATTCAAATAGGCGTCATACTGCGATACCCTTTTGTTAGTATGTTTTTCTCTTCTTCTCATTTTATATGGAAATTTCACTTACTAAACATGCCAGCTGTGTCTTCTGTAGCCATCTATACAGATTCATAAGTTAACACTGGTCCAACCCCTTTTTTCCTTTATTACATAGCTTTTTTTTACTATATTGTTAAATGAGAATCAGTCTTTCCCCAACATAATTCATCTCGGGGCCATGCACGTTGCAGTAGGGCTGCCTGACGTACTCGGCTGGGGCAGAGTGGCTTTTAAATGTCCATTTCTCTTTCTTCCAGCCCTTTTGACACCGCGCTGGCAGACTTCTGGATGCCTGTGGATCTGTACATCGGCGGGAAAGAACACGCTGTCATGCACTTATTCTATGCAAGATTCTTTAGTCATTTTTGCCATGACCAAAAAATGGTCAGACACAGGTGAGCGTTTATACTACTTTTTGTTTTTGTCTTTTTGAGACAGGGTCTTACTATGCAGTTCAGCAGCCTTGAGCTCACCTTGTAGCCCAGGCTGGTCTCAAACTCACAATGATCCTCCTGCCTCAGCCTCCCTAGTGCTGGGATTACAGGCGTGTGCCACCATGCCTGGCGGTGCATTTATGCTACTTTGCAGAAGAATTAAGTTCACCAGTGGTGGCCTGAAACTAAGTCAGTTCTTCAGAAGCAAGGTAAGGATGTGTAGGACTGGAATTGTGCCTTAGAGGTCATCACCAGCCTTAGCGATCTGAGCTACGTTTATCCACGTTGCTTACTGGTTCTAGAATGTGATGTTGCACACCCACACAGAACCCAGCCTTCAGGCCTTCTCTGTTGTGTAGCTGAGGTTGGGAGGGAGCTTCAGAGTTTTACTTGTGAGGCAGAGGAGTGGCCTATGATGTTACAAGGGGTGCTAGAAAGCTATGGTAAATATATAAAATGAAAAATATTAGCCAGATATGGTGGCGCAGGCCTGTAATCCCAGCACTCAGGAGGCTGAGGCAGGAGGATCACTGTGAGTTCAAGGCCAGCCTGGGCTACAAGGTGAGCTCAAGGCCAGCCTGAACTGCATAGGGAGACCCTGTCTCAGAAAGAAAAAAAAACTCCTCCCAGCATTCTGGCCACTTTCTGAAACAATTCTGGGGTCCTCTTTCCTGAGCATCTTTATAAAGTATGATCAAAAATATGGTATCCAACAGATAGGCAGCTCATCATAAAAACTTGCCTCAGTGTCCTCATCCACCTTATTCACCGGCTGTGGCACCATGTGATTTCAGCTCTTCACACATGAGAATGACCATGAAAGGGAAATGTTTTAAATCGGCTCAGGACGGTGAGGCTGCCAGGACAGCACCTTCATGAAAGAATACTCCAGAGCTGCTTCAGAAAGTGGCAAGAAAGATGGGATGAGTGTGGTCAAAGCAAGGGAGTGTTTTGAGGGGGGTTCATGGCAATGTGTCTTTCCTGTAATAATTTTTTTTTTACTCAGACACCTTATTTTTTTATCACACTCCATACATAGATTTATATAGGATCTCATGTGAGGTCCTGCTTATCATCCGGTCTCTCTGTCTAATCTCTGCTTCTGTGCTTGGCTGAAATCTGCCTTTGTAGCTCACTCTGATAAATGTACACAATGAGCTGGAAGATAGAGAATCACAGTGTGTACCCACTGGTACATTCTTTTCCTCTTGGCCTGTGGTCTGTTTCCTCATAACATAAAAATAAAGTGTATGCTCCTTAATGTATAGTAAAGGTGTATTTAAGATATGATACAATGTAAGGACTAAAATGGACCCCGTGTCCTCTCAGTTAGGAAGGAGATGTCATGTTACTTGAGAACACCCAGGATCCCTCTCCCTACACCCGTCCTCCCCATCAGCTAACACTTAGTCCTCAATCTCACATTATTTTCTTACTCTTCTTTATAAATTGATGACTTCTGATAAATTTTTAACAGCACACATTGTTTGGTTTGCCCGGCTTTGAACCTGACGTGAGTACAATCACACTTCACAGTCTTGCTTTCATTGCCCCGCGTCCCTTGAGAGTCAGCGACGTCGGTGCGTGAGGTGCTGACTGCTTCCTGTCCTACGGGATGGAGAGGAAACTCGGGTGTGGTATGCGTCTCCACGGCTTCACTGGAGGCCGCGGGGCTATCGTGTGCAGCGGACCGTGTGCTCTCGCCCGTGTGTCAGGGTGGAGTGGCTCTGTCGTCACAGGACACACACTTGGTCTGCTTCGCTGTGAACACCAAACCCTTTCTGGATTTTTAGATTTTGCTCCTCACTTCATGAGTTACACTTGAATTGAAAGGTACAGATTACTTCAGAAAGTTCAGCATTTTAAAATATGTTCATGGATCTCTGTGCTTCCTTCCCGTGAAACCCGTCTGTGTGGCCGTGGGCCCTTATCTGTTGCGGGTTGTTTTATTGATTTGTAGGAGTTCCTTAAAGATCCTGGACACGAATCCCTTTTTAGCTGTATGGAAGTATTTTTTCCTAGTTCTCGGCTCGTCTTATTTTTATGTCTTCCGATGGACACGCTCTTGATGTGGGGCTTCAGAATGCTAAGATGACCTCTCGCTCCGCGGCTGTTGCTCTGGGTGTCACAGTACCGTCAGTGGGACACGCTGCCTCTCCCCACCGAGTGCCCTGTCCCGTAACCCGTAACCTGCGTGGTCACACACAGGGCCTGGCTCGAGCAGCTTGTTGGCCCTGCGGTCTCTTGGCTCTTGGCCAGGCCAGTTGCAGGCTACTGTGTTCGAAGTCTTTAAATCTGCAGAGGAACGCACTTCTTCGTTCTTTCTCTTCGGGAGAGTGGCGCTTGGTCGGAGCTGCACTGACACCGTGTTTTCTCCAGTGCGTTCCCTCGGCCTCCCATTTTGCGTCGCTGACCTTCATTCTGAAATCATTCTCGTTTTTTGAAATATATGCTTAAAAAAAAATATATATATATATATGCTTTAGGATAGCTTTTGTTTCTTCTAATGAAGGTCCATTTGTCTAAAAATATACTCATTTCGGCCGAACTTTTTAAAACATCTGTGCGTGCATGCGATGCCAGGGATCGAACCTGGGGCCTCCCGTACACTGCACCTGTGCTGCCATCGAGCTGCCCTGCACCCCTCGGCGGCCTCACTCCCTGCCACATCCGCGAGGCTGACGTGAAGCCACGGGTGGTAGTGTCATCTGTCGGTGACACCCCTGCCCTGCTGCCCTCCCCAGCGCTGGTGCTCTGAAGCCTGCTGCTCCCTCTGGGTCTGGATTTCTTTCCAGTCATCCTGCTTGGATCTGGGCTCCTGTGATCTGAAGGGTGGGACCCTAAAAGCTCTGTCACGGTTCCTGCAGATATTGTCCCCTCCTCGCCCCACTTCCATAAGGAGACAGAGCTCAGCTGCCTCTGCCCGGCCGCACACCGCTCCTTTCGCGCCAGCGTCTCTTTCTCCCCCACCTCTGACTTCCAAGGTCTAATCTGCTGATTCAGCCATCCTGTGAGTTTTGTTTCAGTTGTAATGTTCTTCATTTCTAGAAGTTCTCCTTTATTGTTTTTACAGTCTTGTCATATTTCAGGCCTTTATTTCCAAACATATATTAAACGTAACTTGTACTGTATCTGACTGATACTGCTGTGTTCTAAGGTGACCATGGGTCTCATTTAATCTTTTATTGTTTCTCCTTTTCTCACTCATGGTGCTTGTTCTCTTGGGGAGAGTGTTGGGGTGAGGGTGTGATTCTGTGCGTGTGTACGTGTGTCAGTACTAAGGACTGAACTAGGGTCTTCACACTGAACTATATTCTGAGCCCTTTTTAATTCTGATTTTGAGACAGAGTCATTAAGTTGCCAAGCGGGGCTCTAATTTGCCATCCTCCTGCCTCAGCCTCCCAGAGTGCTGGGATGATAGGTGTGCACTGCCTCTGGTGATCTCTAACAGAGCTGCCTGCCTTGCCCCTTTATGTGCACAAGTCCTTCAGCACCTCTGCTAGAGATGATCTGTGCTGGTGTCTCCTATTTCCTGGATGGTCGGACGCTGCCCTCCATGATCACGGTCACTTCAAAGCAGGCTCTGCCTGAGGTTTTCTGGGCTGTGCAGGTAGCATGGATCTGGTCCCAGACCCACCTGAGGGCCAGCCTGTGGCCCCAGACTCCCTGCCAGCTCTGAAGTTCATCAGCATAAGAATCCAGGCTTTCTTGTCTGCCATGCTGCTAGAAGCATAATTCTGGGTCATCCATTAAAATGTTTCTTAATTACAGAGAAAGAGAGGGAAGGGGGAATGTCTGATTATCACCCTGTCTAGATAACCCATATTAACAACAATATCCCAGCTACTCAGGAGGCTGAGGCAGGAAGATTCAAGGCCAACAGCATAGTGAGACCCTGAGTAATAAATGTTAAGATGAAAAAATTTTACCCACACAGGAGGTAAATTTGCTGTCTCTCCCTGCCTGCACCCACCCTCTATTCCTTTCCTCATTTAAGGGTCTTTTGATTTCTTTCAGAAAAATATTTTGCATATCTCCACGTGTGCATTTTATTGATACACTTGTTTTTTAAAAAATATGGAAAACTTCATGAATTTGCGTGTCATCCTTGCACAGGGGCCATGCTAATCTTCTCTGTATCGTTCCAATTTTAGTATATGTGCTGCCGAAGCAATATGATATACTCATTTTAAAGATTGTAGCTGGGCGTGGTGGCGCCCGCCTGTAATCCCAGCACTCAGGAGGCAGAGGCAGGAGGATCGTTGCAAGTTTGAGACCAGCCTGGGCTACAAAGTAAGCTCAAGGCCAGCCTGAACTGCATAGAGAGACCCTGTCTCAAAAAGACAAAAAAATATATATATATTTATTGCCTATGTCTTTTTCTCTTTTAATAATATAGCACAGTGGTCTTTCCAAATCAGCACACACAAATCTCCCATCTTTTAAATTTATGCATGGTATACCATAATTTATTTAAGTAGTCACTTATTTTTCCAGTTATTATTACCAAAAAAAGGTCCACTGACCCTCATTATCTATGATCTTTCCAGGTATTTGGGAGCTTATCTGTAGGTCAAGTCCTAACTGTAGGCCAAGGAATATATGTGTTTAAAATTTTGATAGATTAAAAAATACAGGGCTTCAACCCCGCTGTGACGCAGGGCCCCGGAGCCGCTCCCTGACTCCATGCGAACAAGTGGGTTAAAAGAAGTCTACTGTAGAGAAAACTAATTTAGGAGGTAAATTAAATGCTTAAACTAATTTTCCCCCCATTAGTCACAGAGCCCTTTTATGTAAAAATAAACTGAGCTGCATGAGAAGGACACAAAACATATTCGCAGCGCTGCTGGTGTCTGAGTTAGCTGCAGTGTCCGAGCCTCAGGCCGTAGACTCACAGCCCAGCACCGCACGTCTTACCTATGGAAACGAGTTCACCGACTGGAGATTACCCTGGGGACTGTGTCGTGTACTGTCCTGCTCTTGTGGACATCATGGACACTCTTTTGGGACAGGGGAGTTTTGAGATAGGCTATGTAGTCTAGGCCGGCCTCCAACTCTCAGCAATCCTCCTGCCTCAGCCTCCCAGGTACCTGGATTACAGTCATGCTCTAGCACACCCAGCATATCATATATTCATAGTGAACAATTCTTTAAATAAGTGGAGCTTAATGTCTTGACATAAACAGGTAAAAGTCTCTATTCTTGGAAAGAAACGTCCTCCTTGAGAAAGTGAGAATTGAGTACGGGTTAAGGTTACAGACCCAGTGCCACATGAGGACATTTACCTCTCAGGGAGGGCTAAGAACAAAGACCACGTTTCTGGCTCCTTAACCATAGGGCATATTTCTGTCACTTTCTGAATAATTATTTGTGGAAGTAATAACCAATTAAACAGTGACCAACTACCCTCTGGGACAGGGCCGCTCCTAGCCTCAGGACGAAGGTCGGAGTGAGCCATCTGGGGTGACCCTGCAGTGCTGGGGCCCAGAGAAGACACAGGTTCCCATGGGTGCTAGAATTCCCTTAACTCTTCACAGTCTCACTCTGTAGTCCAGGCTGGCCTTAAACTCATTATGTAACCCAGGCTACCCTCAAACTTGTGATGTTCCTCCTGCCTCAGCCTCCTAGAGAGTTCTGAAAGATGAAGCTGGAGGAGTGCAGCCTGCAACAGAGCCACTGGGTTTAATCAGGTGCTGGCAGGTTGCAATTCTGCACATGCCCAGGAGGGGGCGGGGGTGGGCCACCTGGCAAAGGCTGGTGCAGCCAGGTTCTGGGCTCAAGGCTTGATTTTAATCCTCCTCCTCTTTCTCTTTACCATTGGCTCCAGACTGTGCCTCCTTCCTCCTTTCCCAGGATGTCTTCATTGTTTTATTTGCGGGGATCAAGCATGTGCTACACCAGGCCCCAGTGTTTCTGTGACAAGTGACCGAGGCCACTGCACTCCTTGGCCGTACAAGCTCTCTTTAGGGTTGAGTCTGTTGTGTTCGTTGTGCCCTTAGGTTTAAACCTGGGGCTGGCTGATTGGCCGGGCAGGGGCGGTGGTGGCAGAGCTAGCAGCCTGCACTGCCTGCATCCACCCTTACGCCTGCGCGGTGTTTGTCTGAGCAGGCCCCTGTATTATGCTGGCTCTAATTCCTTGGGTGCATACCAGGAGTGCATAGCGGTGTCACAGAGTAACTCTGCTTAGTGTTTTGAGGGGGGTTTGATGGGCTGGGGTTTTTGTTTGTTTTTTTTTTTTTTTTGAGACAAGATCTTGCTATATATCTCGGCTGGCCTCAAACTTGTGGCAATCTTCCTGTCTCAGCCTGCCGTGTACCAGGCCACACCAGCATTTATTGTTTTCTCTGTGTTCTTGATGACAGCTGTTTCCACTGGGTGAGATGGACTCTGGGTGTGGTTCTGATTTGTTTCTCTGGTGGCTAAAGATGTTGAACATTTTCTTCACATATTTACTAGCCGTTTGTATTTTGAGAAGCACCTTTCAATTCATTTGCCCATTTATTGTTAGAGCTATGTGACTTTTTTTTGGTGTTTGGTTTTTTGAGTTCTTTAAATATTCTAGATGTTAATCCTGTTAGAATAGCTGGCAAAACCCTTCTCCCACTCCATCGCTGTCTCTTGCTATTCAGAGCTCTAGAGGCTGTTGCCCTTGCTGTTCAAAACCTTTTTCATTGGATGTAGTCCCATTTGTGGGTTCTTGCTATTATTTCCTGAGTATCAGAGTCCTAGTCAGGAAGTCTTTGGTTGTGCCAATGGCTTCAACTTTTCCTAGATTTTCTTAACTTCACTATTCAACCAGGAAGGGTTTTGTTTAAACTACTTTTTACAGACAACATAAATAAAATATAATCACCCATACTGCAGAACAAGCTTGCTATTTTTAAAAGTGAGCGAGATCCACATACCATTATGGAAAAACCAATCTGTGCTGGTAGGCGAAGTTGCACAAAGCCATGCAGGGATCACCTGTCTGACCCCAAGACCCCGTCCTCGTGAGGGGTGAACACACGCTTCTGGGCTCACGGGCATCCAGAAGTCTGCAGGCGCCCACGACTGCCACCACCTTGAGGGCACCTGCTCCCCGAGGGGTGTGTGGCTTTGTGGGGTTAAAACACTTGCAAGCTGGCGCCATGGGCCAGGGGAAGGAAGAAGGTAAGAACCTCACAGCCGAGCCAAGGGTGGTTCCTAAGCTGCTGGGGATTTCCATGCTGCGTGCCACCTGATCCTCCCTCCCAGCACTCAGGCAAGTCTCCTGACGCCCGTTTTATGGACTGGCAAACTGAGCCTGAACGGCGAATGGCTGGGGCCCACAGAGGTGGGACTGAGATGTGCAGCCACCACGGGGCCTTGCAAAGCCGAGACCCCGGCCCTCCGGCAGTGCCGCTCTGAGCAGCCAGGGCCTCCAGTGTCCCTCTCTCGTCCTCAGGGAGCCCTTCCACAAGCTGCTGGCACAGGGCCTCATCAAGGGACAGACGTTCCGCCTGCCGTCCGGACAGTACCTGCCACGAGAGCAAGTGGACCTCACAGGTGAGAGTCCCCAGCCCTCAGCTTTGCTGGCCCTGGCCAGTCCTCAGGGAACAAGGAAGCTGCCAGTGTGCCCCAGCACAGACCGAGGAAAGGAATCAAGCTGGGGCGCGTAACCCTCAGCCCTGAAGGAAGTGCTCTCTGTTGTGGGCACGGTTGCCCAGAGGGAGCTGTTCAGTTTGTGCACCGCACTAAGGCACCCGGCCAAGGGAAATTCGAACACTTGCCAAACTGCACATTTGAGGGCCACCCCTCCAGGAGAGAGCGTCTTGCTCTATCTCCTCAGCTTCTCTGTGCCGAAAGACCCTTTTCCAGTGTGCACAACCGCGCTACAAAGGCCAGACCGCCCGCAGAACCTATTCCAGGACATCCGAGTCCTGAGCCCCACGTCCTGGTCCTGGGCCAGGCAGGGTTGTGATGTCTCTTCCCGTGAGGACTTGCGCTTGGTGAGGTTGCAGAGATGGGAGGCGGGGTTCCACTGGTCCCTTGTGGAGCTCAGTCACAGTCAGGAACAGAAACGGCCAGCAGGAGGCGACCTCCCCAAGCAGCCGTGCACACAGGTGACTGCGCCTCTGCTGTCCCGGGGCCTCCCAGTTCCAGAGGACCGGGTCCCCCCTGCCCGATTCCCATTGTAAAGTGACTTTGGGGACACAGTGGCCAGAGAGCTCATGGCTCAGAGCCCGGGGACATCGGTTCCCAGGAAGAGGCTCAGCCAGCCGCTGTCCTCTGCGCTCCCACCCGCCTGGCATGGGACAAGGTTCTCTCATCCAGACTGGGCCACCAGAGCTTCTGCTGCCAGAACCGTGGGGCCGGGCTGTGCTGGGGAGAGCCTCGACCACAGAGGGCCACCGCGCCAGCCTGTGCGCCCTGATGGCAATCCCGCGGGGAGCCGCGGGGGCCTCCTGGAGGCCCGAGCCCAGCTGCCTCCTGTGAGCCGAGCCGCAGAGGGCAGTCCTACTTCTCTTTTTGTTCATAAATAACATGCTTGTAAAGGGGGGATTTGTTTTTCTAGAAAAAGGTGGCACCATCCATCATAACTGTGTTTATTTATAAAGGGCTCTGGGAGGGAGGGACGCGCATCCATTTCAAAATCAAAACATCCTGCCGGGCTTGGTGGCACACTCCTGTGATCGCAGCACTTGGGAAGCTGAGGCAGGAGGATCTTTGTGAGCTGGAGACCAGCCTAGACTACAAAGTGACCTCAAGGCCAGCCTGAACTGCATGGTGAGACCCTGTCTCAAAAAGACAAAAAAAAAATCTTCATGCCACAGTAGAGAAGAGGCCTTGTGAGAGTCTTCAAATGACACTTATCCTTGCTTGCCCCGTTTCTTTCTTTGTTCCTTT